CATTTCCATTCAGTTCCTTTAAAGCGCCCCTGAAAGCTGCCCTTTGTGTTCTTTTCCTGGCTCTTTACCTAAGTCCTGCCACTTTTTAAGTCTCAAGTGTCATTTCCTTGGAGAGGCCTTCCGTGACCCCACGATCTAAAATGGTCCCGCCTCCCTCCCCTGTTCCTGCATTTGACCGCTAATGGTAATAGTCTCTCTGTTTTGCCCTGTTTCATCATGTGGCTTCCACTGGACAGTAAGCCCCAGGACAGCGAGGACCAGGCCCGCTTTTCTGGGTTCCTTGAGTCTACCCCAGAGGGGAATAAATCTCAGTTGAGCAAATGAATGAAACTGTACTGCAATGTGGACAGCTGCTTAAAGGGTTTACGCTGCCTTCTTGGTGAACCTACCTGCCTGGTCGGACCACATGGTACTCCAACAGTCCTCCTTGAGAAGGGTTTCTCATGGAGCATTGGGGGAAACCACGCCAAATTCCCAAATGTTTCTCTAATCTGCTCCTTTACCGCCCGCACTACAGGCTCTTCTGACTTCTCTACCTGAGTATTTTGAGTCTCCTAGCCAGTCCATCTCCACACTGCCTTGACTTCAGGAATCTGGCAAGGACCAAGAGCTGCAAACGTGGATGGGGAAGAAATTACATCCTGATTTTTATAAACCTCTAACTGAAAATTTGCACTTCCTTTGATTATAAATGTTGGCAACAAGCCCCACAGCATTGGCAGGACCTGTGACTTTGGCATCAAGAGAATCACAGATGTTTTTACAACACATTACTGCTGTTGCAGATGTTGAAATATCTTTTATGATCACTGCTACTTTAAAATTATGGTTCTTATTAGAGCTGCTGCTAGATTATGTAATTTGATCCTTTAGTAAGTTCCCATAAAACTCATTTTAATATTAATATTTTGATAGCTGTTTTTCAATATAGTTGCTTTGGTAATGCTATGCATTTTATTTTCTGCACTTCAAAACATTCTGAGAAGGGTCCACAGGCTTCACCAGACTGCCAAAAGGGTTCATGGCAAAGAAAAGGTGAAGGACCTCTGGTCTAGTTTTTCTTCATCTCTCATCACTGCCTTGCAAAACCAGCCTGATGCCTTCCCCTGGCTGCAGGATAAAAGCTAAATCCCTTTGCATGGCATTCAAGGCTCATTTTTAATCCATTTTCAAAAAAAACCTTATTATCTTCATTTTTTATCAATACACTGGATACAACCTGTGTTCCAATCACACTAAGTTACTTGAGTACGCCAAAAATGCACTCATGTCTCCAGGTCTATTTTTAGTTTCTCTTAAAGAACTACTCTTTTTTTGTTTTGTTTTGTTAAGGCTTACCTCAAAATGTTACCCTGGTAAAGCCTTTTGACCTTCCCCAAGTACAATCGTGGAATCTTTCCTTTGTATTATCCAGAACACTTTACTAGGAGCTGTTTGATAATTTATCAGATCCTGTGTTTCTTCTTTGTTATACTGTGAACTTCTTGAGGAGAGGGACATCCTCAGCTTTACACGCAGAACACAGAGCAAATACTTGGAAAATGAATGAATGAATATATATAAAATATTCATTCTTCTGAGGGATGAGTAAAATCCATAATGACCACATTTGTTTGTCCTTAAAAACAAGAACTGCCTTTGAGACGTGTAAGTCCACTTAAAAACTCCACCAGTCAGAAGGAAAATAGTTTATCATCTTACATTGGCTGCTTGGACCCAGCTGCCTTTAGTTAATTTCTACCCTTGAAGATAGCAGAAGCACCCCTAGTGGGAACCCATTTGCTGATTCCATAAACCTTTTGGCTGTATCACTGATGTCTTCTCACATTACCCTTCTTTGAATGATGCCAAATATATTTTCGGCCAGTCTCCTTCAAGCAGACGCTTTCTATTACTTGCCCAGGATTTTCCTAACCATCAGGTTATGGAATGATTTTTATATCCTAGAACATTCAGCTGCTTTATGCCAATCTTAAACAAATGCAGATGGAAGGTTTAAAAATTTCCCTTCCTAAGGAGCTTGAAAAATTAAAAAGGAGACCATTCTTTAATTTCATAGTTCAGCGAACAGCTTGAGTAACCGGATCTATGCGTGTGTGCACAGGCGCCGAGGACAGAAGGAATGTTAGCAGCCCTGACCTGAAGTTGGAATCTCACGGAACCACAGACTTTTAAGAGCTGAAAGGAACCTTTTAAAAGATAGCAGAGAGATGTAAGTGTCTTGCTCAGGGGTTGATCTGCTGGTTGAATCTCAAATTTAGCAAGTCCGAAACAGAATTCTTGCTCCACCATGTTTCAGAATCCTTAAGTCCACGCTGTCTCAGGCAATGACACCTCTGTCCAGAACTCAGTTGCTCAAGCAAAAATCTAGAAGTCATTTATGCTTCATTCTCTATCCAGTCCCTCAGCAACTTCTGTCCATTATACTTTCAAAATACATTCTGAATTCATCTTCTCTTTTTTGCTCCCACTACCACCACTCTAGGTCAAGCCACTGTCACCTGGATCCCTGTGCCAACCTTCTAATTGGCCTTTCTGGTTTCTTTCTTTCCTCCCCACGATTCCCTACAGAGCAGCCAGGGTGATCCTTTAAAAATATAAATCAGATCTTGTCATTTACTTTCATAGAACTCTCTGCGCACTATACTTGCAATACGATGTAAACCCCTCACCACGTTTACAAGGTGTGTTATATGATCTCAGCATTGCCTGCCTTGCAACTTCAAAGCCACTCTGCCTCTCATTTACTCTGCTCCAGCCCCACTAGCTTTTTTTTTTCTTCTATTCCTTGAACCCCAAGAGCTCATTCCTGCCTGAGGGCTTTGGCTTTTCTATTCCTGGTCCTCACAGGGCTGGCTCCTTCACATTAGTCTTATGTCTTTCCCAATGTTACTTTTTCAGAGTCTTTTCCTCTACGCTCATCCCAAACAGTGAACTGAAGTGAAATGGAGAACACAGGAGCTGATTAGAAAGATCTGACCCAAGTGTCAGGTGGTGTTTGAGACTCAGACAAACGACTACCATACCTGCTGTCTTATATATTCTTATCTAAACATCTAAAGCATCTTCTCACCAACCCAGCATTGCAGGTGGCTTACAGAAATCCTTCTACCTGGACGACCTTGTCTTAACTTCCCAACACCATCCCTAGCTCGGCTCTTTCTGCTGTCTGCATTTCTCTAGGCTAAGGGAACTTACACTTACATTTCTGGCAGAGGTTTCTTCCTGGAGGCCACGTTCCCATGAAAACTAAACTGAAATGGTTTCTGGGTGAGAGGACGTACATTAACATTTTCACTTGATCTTTCTCTCAATCCTCATTTTTTGGATGAGCTGGCATACGAACTAGTGTTTCTTTCTATCGATATTGTAAAATGTATTTCTGAGCACAGGCCGTGTCAAAAGGAGAATAAATAAAACAAAGAAAAAGTCCTTGACTTGGAACCCTTAGTTACAAGGCAGGAAATTTAGAGGGCAGGAAGTAGCTGTGAGCTTTTCCGCCAAGCAGTACTTAAATTTCCCCACCCTAAAGGAAAGATCGTCCTGGTGTTGTTGGAATCCAGCCAATGTGAGCAGTTAGAGAACGGGGACAAACAACGGGGTGGGGGGGATACTGCCACCTGTTTATGCTGATTTTTAACAAACAAGACTGGCTGCCAGCTGTTGGGGGAAGGGTAGGAGCTAAGGTGGAAACAGGAAATGCTCAGACTGAGGCTGGTTGTCAGCTTTCTGGATAAGGGGAAAAAAGTCCCTGGGAAGTACATGGTCATTCTCAGATGGCCAAGAGGCAAAGGCATAGATAATGCCTCCTGCTCACTAATATAGCAGGGTTGGCCTTAGCGTCTGCACGGAGTCACACGTATGAGTCACGAAATTCACTTAGTTGCCTACTCTGTATTTATTTTCTCCTTCCTTACTGCCTAAAACCTGTATTAGTAGGGGCAGTAACGCCCAAGGGAAGATGACATTTCTTGACCTCCCGAATAGCTAACTGCTGTTATGCGACTGAGTTCAAGTGTTGAGTATGATTTCCAGGAAGACCGTCTGAAGGGTGCTGACTCAGCTGGGTTTGTCCATTTTGTCCTTGCCCTCTCTTTTTCTTTATGCTGCCTGGAATTTCAAATGATGTCTGATGCTCAAGTGGCTACTCTGGTCCATGGGGTAACCTTGAGAAAGGAACCATACTGTGGTGCAGATAGGAGCCTCTAGACTGGTCTTGGACTGCCTTCCTTTGGAATACTTTTCAAAGAGATACAATTCTTGTTTGAGCTTTTGCTGATTTGTGTTTCCGTTAAATGTAGTCAAGTCTGATCCTGAGTTATCGCAATAATTCTTGGCATTCATGTAACAGTCTTTACATCCTCCAAGCCATGGTCAGTTCTGTTACCTTATTCTATCTTTCTAAGAAATGTGAGAGAGCTGAGGTGAGTGTGATGTCAGACGAGGCAAGGGGAGCTGAACACAGCACAGCAAGTCTTGCCTAATGCTACACAACTAGCTACTTGGAGAGCAGCAGGCTTTGGAAGCCAGGTGAGCTTATTACCCTTAGGATTTTAAAAGCATGGTGGAAGTAGCTGACAAATTTTCTTTAAAAATGATTCTGATTTTTAAAGTGGTGGTTCTTTTTAAAAGCAAACATTTAAGGACAATTTATCTCTGCAGTCAAAACGAAGACTAAAGACTGTCTTCAGTCCTCCTACCGAGGGGACTGAAGTCACTGACTTTAAAAACATCAGATTTCTTTCAAGTTGCCTCCAGAATACTACTGCTACATTAAGATGAATGACGACTCACTGTATTGTTATAACATACATTAAATGAGCTGAGTTCTCAAACAGGCTAAGACACATTTTGAATAAGCAATTAGTAAAATGAATGTGTTACTGTTTTAAAAGCATAACGGATTTGATGATTAATGTGGGGTTGAGAAAGTCCTTAAGATGAAAAGGCAGAGGTAGGTAGGACTTTTTTTCATTCAGTTCAGGTAAAATTGAATCGGGTGGATTCAACATAGAAAAGTTTTAATGAGGCAAATGTCAAGCAAGCATATCAACTTCTTAAAAAACAAAGAAAATCTAGAAGTTTAATTACAAAAACACTTGTACAGAAAACTTGGCATTTCAACAGTTCCAAACACATGTGCACAATTTTTTCCCTAAAATTTTATTTTGTCAGAAATAAAACATTTTGTCTCATTTTCCTCAGCTGCTCCTTATGTTTTAATAAGAAGAAAGAAATCCGTAACACTGAATAGGCAACAACGTATTTCTTGAGAAGAACATGTACGTTCAATATCTACAAGTTTACTGTGAAGTATATCGTGTTAGTCTGTGACCTCATTAGCTACCTCTTGGCTGGGCACAGAGGAGAGGGGAGGTGATGCAGACCTGCTCCACAGAGCCTGACAGTTTTGTGGCAGTTGAATCCCAGCCAGCAGTGAGTCAGGTGTGTAGCTACTGGGAGAGCTGGCATGTCAAAAGCAGCCTGTTATTCTGTGAAAATGATAACCAGACTGTAGGCTCTTTCAAGATCTTGTGCATTCCTGAACACGCAGGTGTTTCAAGTCATTGTCAGATATCCTATCTAGAGTCAGGAAGGTGATGATCTTTGGACCAAGTTATAGCCTTTCCTGGTCTCCATAATGCTAACAGGGCTGCACAACACTAACACAAATGAGAAACAGAGAGAAACACTAGGAGGAAGAAAGAAAGGAGAGAAAGTATTTGGCAGAAGGCAGACACAAACTTCCAGAGCAGGCTCGGATGTCCTTCTGCCATAGACAGTGTGTGTCAGCTCGGGACTTAGCAGGCGGGACTGGGAGAGAAGTGGCAGAACAGCAGGTGAGAACAGGAAAACAGGAAAATACAGAGAAGCAGGTGAGGCGGCCAGATTTACCACAACAGATAATGAGGGGCTCTTATTCCAAAAGATTGCCAAGCGGTGGTTTGTGGGTTTCAGTACCTGGAAATTTGAAGTGTGCTCATGTGAGACATTTTAAAACGGTTGTTTTTTTATTGTTGTTGTTGTTGTTTTATTTCCTTTGGGCTAAGAAAGAAACTGGGGAAGGAGATGCTGGGAAGACAGGATGGTGCAGCAACATGAGGGGGTTTCCGGCTCGCACCCTGGCCTGTGAGCATACTGCGAGGGGGCCACACTGCCACCCGCCCTCGGTGGAGTGGTGCCGAGGCAATGGGCTCAGCACGCCCTGCTTTGGTTCCAAAGATCTCAGCTGCAACCGTCAGCCTTGTGCTCTAGAGAATCAAACCACAACACCACACAACCAAACCCTGAGGTGAGAATCGGAGACCGCTCTTCCCCTTTGGTGTTAAACAAACAAACAAACAAACAAAACACTTACTAAGGGGGAAGAAGGAAAAGAAGCCTGTCCCTTAGACACAGATTCTGCAGCTATGATCACAGGAGGAAGACAACAGACATGAGAACTCTTCCTGCCCTGTTCTGTCCGCTGGCGACTATTCTGAACGACATGTCTGCCACCCACGCCCACGAACCCGCAAACCTCAAGTAGACAGGGATTCCCTCTGTTTTCACTTACGACAGACTTCGGGTTTTTTTCCGATACCAAATGAGAAACGACTTTTCTCGTTCTCTCCTGTTTGCCAATGACCTTTTCCTGGGCAAAATGCTCTACAAGTCATTGCCAACAGATGGGAACAGAAGAGCCTTGCTGGGGCTGGGACGCAGGGTGCGGGCAGGAGCGATGCTTCCGAAACAGCAGGCAGTGGCGAGGAGGAAGGAAAGAGCCTCCTCCTTCAGGGCAGCCATCACAAAGCCTCCCCCACTGAGCGCTGTGCGGGGCAGGAAACACAGCCTCGCTCCACGGGACACTGCCAACAGGAAGCTCCTTTCTTTGAGTCACAGCAGGACAATGATGGGAGAAGATTGGCCTGTCCAATGAGAGAAACTCTCCTTCAGAACCCTGCTGGGCAACAAAGCCCAGAGGTCAGAAAATGGAGACGTCTGACTTGGTGGGGGTGAAGGCAATAAAAATAACCCCCAAAGGCATAAGAAAAAGTGACAGCTAGGTAGGAAAACCACTGACAAAGCCACTAAGCCACTGATAAGAGTCCGATCTGAAGCCGAACAATGAGAAGGCTTCCTTTCTGCTGCAAAGACATCAGTCCCGGGGGCGGCTGGTCAGCAGACCATGTGCGGACCCACTTGAGCAGAAATGGAGACGAAAGGAAACTGGAGACTCGGGGGAGCGGCTGGACACTTTCAAAGCCTCACAAGGACGATTCCATAGGAAGTTTCACGTACATGTTCCTTCTGCTGGTCCCTCATATGGCTTCCTGGGGTGAAGGCATTTAACTCAAAGCTGACAGTTTTTCCACAAGCTGAGTAATCTGTACTCCCTCTGGGCCTCCACTCAATTCAAATTTCCATGGATGGCTTCTCATTCCAAACAAGTAAAACCACTTACAGAACATCTTGGAGCTCTAAGCCCTGTAGAATTGGGAGGGGAAAAAAAAAATCAAGAAGGTGAGCACTGATTAGAAAGGGTTAGGGCTGTGAGTTAAAGAAGTGCTCTGCTCTATTTTCAGAAGGTTAAGGTGAGTAGCAGGGTGTGTGTAAGCCAAAGTGCTCGTAAAGCCGCAAGCAGCCAGCCTCACTGAGGTGTCTCAGACATTCCAATGAGAAACATGGCCCTGCTCCAGTTCAGCCACAATGGGGAGGCTGGAAAGTCGTCAGCTACACACAGAAGAGCCACCATCAGGGACAAATCTGATGATGAAAAATTAGTACTTTATACTTTAGTCCAAATTTGATTTGGTCAATCAAAACCAATTTTCTTCAAGTATAAATCTAAGGATCTCTGCATGTGCAGGGATGTCTGCACAGGATCAATACATTCTCTTATACTGATAAAACTGCAATCACATAAAGATTTTTTTTTTTCAATTCTCAAACAGGCAAATATTTATCATTTAGTTCAACTGAAGTCAAGCAACATGCGGCTTCTGATAGTTCATACACCTCTCAGTATGAAATTACCTGCACTGCTTCCTCCCAGCTCCACTCTGTTCTAGGTACTAGTAAGCCACAAAGAAAGATGACAGCTGGGGAAATTCCACTGAATATCTGTAAAAATAACTATAAAATGGGCTGACCAAAATTTTAGAACGTAATTGCTGGATTGTAATTTTTTCCTATTTACCTGCTATTTATCTTAATGCTCTCATTCTAAGATATTTCAGTGCTTTCCCCTTACACCTATCTCTGCGTCCTTACATCAATGTTTTAGAAACCTGACTGCATTTAGATACATGTGTTCTGGTTCTGGATCCTGCACTCACCTACCTACTTAGGTACTTTCAGGTAAGACATTTAGCCTCTTTGGGACTTAGTTTCTTCCTATGTAAAATGATGGGCTTTCTAAAGGCCCCTCCAGCTCTAACCTGCTCCTCTGAAACAGCAGACCATTACCTTCCCTTCACTCACTGGCTCCTGACAATGGATGAAACCTTTGCCAAGCTCACGTCAGAGTAATTAATTGCACCGCGAATGCTGGGGACATCAGCCCTAGCTGTCTGTACATATTTGTATAATGAGGCCATGCTAGAATCAATCAGAGTTTTCACAGTCGTTTCACTTGACAGTGTTGGAGGGTGTGGAGAACCACCCACTCCTAGTTATGTTTGCATGGCTAGACTGTAAGAATCTGTAGTAATAAAACGGTTCACATTTTCAGGTATTGCTTTTTTCAAAGGCAAAATATTTGTGGGTTAAAATCAAGGATAATGAAAACATTCTAGGTTTTCAAAGACACATCAGGAAGCAGATACTACAGTTTATATTCTTAAGATGGGTAAAGCTTTAGGAGAGTCTTACTGGCAAAATGCTCAAAATGGAAAACCATTTTTGGCTCAAAACTTGCAGTAACGGCCTTATACCTACGTGAGGAGACGCCACGTTATCAATTACTGTGTTCCTTCACAGGCCTCCACGCTGCCTCTCCCAGCTCTCTCTTTTTAAGCCTACAAGAGTGCTAATTGAAAACACTGTGCGAAAATGAGAAGGACGACGAGCTCCTGAGAATCCCAGGCCTAGATTCACAAGCTGTTCCCTTCGTCAACAGCAGCAGTAGTGCCACTTCTTTATTCTGCAGGGAGTCCAGCCACCTCTTAAAGCACAGTCCGTTCCATCTGGCTACTCGCTAGAAGGACGGTAATCCTTTCCCCATCAGAGCACGGCTGAGGCTAAGGGATAATGAATTGCCTTGTACAGTACTATTCCAGGGCATGGCCAAGAAGGATAAAGACTACCGCTTTTGTCTCTGCCAGCAGATGTTGCCTCATTAGATAAAGAGTCATGGGTTTTATTTATTCTTGTACATGCTGCTCAAGGCCCAAAGCATGCTAGAATGTGAATATGTACATGAGTGTGCTCGTGTATCAGCAGGACAAATAAGTAAAGATTCAAACCCATGAGCAGCCAGTCTCAGGAGCACTTCCCGCTGCCCACTCTTCTTTAGTGTCCACATACGGCCACCTACTGTGTGGTGCAGCACGAAGGTCTCCACAGGTCATACGTCGGCAGGTGTGGAATAATTTAATCAACAGGCCAACGGGCTGTCACTTTTGTGGAATGGTATACTCAAAGGCACCCCATCTCTAGGAATATGAGTGAACAAATACCAGCCCATTTAAGAAATGATACCTGATGACTGACCATTAGTACCAAAAAAGTTTATATGGGCAGATCCCTTTTGGAAATGTACTTTTTTCTCTTCTAAAAGGATGCAACACATACTACTAGTCATTTGTTGAACATATTTTTTAAAAGCTTATTTCCTCTTTCCTTTCTATTTCACGTATTGAAAGGCATTAACAGTTTCACTCTAAGGTTAGCCCACATTAACGTCTGACATACGACGGCTACTCCGACACTGAGGGTGAGTGAAAAGCTTCTTACTGTGTAGGCTTGTACACATACTGTGTCTCACTGACCACTGCCCTGAATCATCATTAATATTTTCCAGGTAAGAGGAAGCTTAACAATTAAGTGATATTTATTTTGTTCTGTGTGTTGTTTGGGGGGTTATTTCGACTAAGTTTCTCACTTACTCTTCAAAACCTTTGGGAAACGAACACCTGAGGAAACAGCTAACAAGTGACAAAGCGAGAACTGAGGTCCAGCCACAAACAACATGCTCTTCCCATCAAGCCACACCGAGGCATGCAGGAGGGAAACTGTCTTGATTCCGTTTCCCAACATTATCCACTATATTTAGCAACCATTGCAACAGGAATCTTAATCAAGTCTCCAGCTCACTTATTCAGTGTAATCCCACGGTTTCAGCAGCACAGACGAAGTCTAATGCCATCTGACTTCTGATGATGTACCGGCATGTAATACGTACATACTACACACGTCAGTGAGCACTCACCATCCCCTAACGATCAAGCCTGCTCACAACTTCTCGAACTGTCGCTATGAAGTTTTCATTGTCTTGGGGATTCGCTAAAATAATACTGTGCAGTCTGTTCATATACGAGTCGATTGTGTCCACTGTAGGCGTCTCTCCACTTCCTGAAGTGGGATAAGAAGAGAAAGTAGGAAAATCCTCCCCATTCAGTTTAACCACCATAACACAGATCAGTGATTCCACTGCAAAGGAGACGACTCTAAAGCGGTCTGCTCCACAGAGATTTTAACTTCAGAGGAGAGACTATTAGACCTCCAAGAAATGAAATTAACCCACATACTCTAAATAAACAGACGGGCCATATAACCGCTGTGCAGCATGTATGAGTGACTGCATACAACCAAAGGGGACAGACTCTCCCAGCCCTCCGCTGACTCTCCTTAACATGCAAGACTATACAAGAATGACTAGTATGTTTTCCTTTTCCTTCCCATTAAGACAAAATTACAAAGCAAGCAAACATATATCAGAAAAGTGCTTCGGGAGGGTGGGCAGGATCGGGGGAGGGGGTCAAGAAACAAAAACTTCCTGTTACAAATTAAGTCATGGGGATGTAAGGTACAGCATGGTAACTGCAGTCAATAATACTGTATTACATATTTGAAAGTTGCCAAGAGAGTATGTCTTAAAATTTCTCATCACAAGAAGATGTTTTGTTACTTTATATGGTGAAACATGGTAACTAGACTTGTGATCATCTCATAGTGCATAGAAATATTGAATCATTACACATTGTACACTTGAAAGTAATACAATGTTACATGTCAATTATACCTAAATTTAAAAAATAAGTGCCCCACTCAGGATTTATTACTCAGTTTCCATTGTTCTGAGTATCAAATTAAGCTTACTAGAAAGTAGAATATAACTGGAGAAAATTGTAACTGAGCAAAGCACCTGAAACTTTGGAAGATTTTGACCAATACTGAGATTCTATTACACGACCCAGAGAAAACCGAGGAAAACCCCCTGCTTTAACTGACTTTCCTGCAGGGGGAGACCTCAGCCTCACTGCGCCAGCAGCGGCCGGGCAGCACCTCCCGCCCCCGCCGCTCTCGCGCTCAGGGCGGACGCATTACCAGGCAAGGGCATGCTGGCGAAGCTGCTGGTCAGCACCTGGCGCAGGGTCTCCAGGTGCTGCTGTAAGACCGTGTTGCGGCTCCGCTCCTGGATCACGTCCACCTCCAGCTTCTCCACGGCTGTGCGCATGCTTTCCACGTGCTTTTGCAGCGCTGCGTTCCTCTCCTCAAACTCCATGTTGGATTTTCGAAGCTGGCGGAGCTCCGCCTCCCGAGCTGAGGACACCCGCCCCCAACAAGAAGACACATGGAGCGCCACACATCTCCGAGGAGCCCCATCGACTCGTACAGTAAGTTCTGCTCAGCTGTCTCTAATTAGCTCTCCCTCCTCATCTCCCTATTCTCACGATGGCCTTCTAGTTAGCAATTTCAGCAATAAAACACCTGGCTCCCCAGAGTTATTTTAATTCTTAAAGCTGGTCATATTCTATACTTAAGATCGCAAGGAACAGCTGCAATTCCCAGTATTTTTGTTTGTTTGTTTGCTTTATAAAGTGTGCAATGAGAAGCCAGAGGGGCTTCGTGGGGATCCTGGGAGACTGCACAAGCACAGCTGTGGGTATGCATCTTTCCAGCACTGGGGTCAGCTCTGCTCTTATTTATCTTATATTTTGGATATCCATGTAAGCTTTCATTTGTACAGAGGGTTCTGAGATAACAGCCTAAAAGCAACTGAATTAGTGATGTATGTTTATTTCCTTTGAGCCAGAGACTAAAGCAGCTTTGACATCACCGGCTTCCCTTTCCTTGGCTGGTCTTTGAGTAGCTACCTTTAACAGAGAGTGAAACAGAAGCAGTTTTCTCCTTCCAGATCAGTCTTAGGGCCTGAAATATCACTACTGTTGGTTTTGAGCAATGAATTCCTCCTGGCAACGAAACCCCTGTCACAGACCTGAGGAACACAAGATGATACTTTGGTAATCACCTTTGCTGTGGTTCAGGAATTCCTCCGTGAAGATAGGGATGTCAAAAACAGACCGCTCCTTTACCTCTGCTTCTTTCTGTGAATCAAGAGTAAAAGAACAGTTAATTCTTAAACAGAAGCTAAATTAAAATAGTAGTGTCTGAAGGCACAATGGTCTGGTTTTCCTTAAAGAAACAGTAATATGAGCAGGAATGAGTCCAGCTGAGGCCGTGAGGAAAGTGTATTCATTCACCTTTTCACTTGAACCAGACTTTCACGGAGCTCAAGCAGGTTAAGTATTCAGATCTCTCAGGTGACAACTGCTGTGCAATGACAAACCTTAGAACAAACCTACAGAAATTTCCCTAATGGAGATTTTGGAACCCATTTCTTACCTCTGTGCTTTGAATAGTCAACAGTATACAGTTGAGAAAGTGGTTGAGGTAGGAACAGAGAAAGAGAACTTCCCAGTGTTTTTTCTGTTGCTTCTTTTGGTTATGCACATAGAATGCTCCCTGCGATAGCATTATGCAATCTAAATTTCCTGAGTAGACAATGAGAATTTTGAGCGGAGATCTGCCAGCCATGAGCAATAATAATGGTATTCAATTGGTACTTCTACTTTTACTTCTACGTATTTACAAGGGACAGCCTATAATTGGGGATCTTTTAGACTTTCTTTGGACACAGGAAAAACAAACAAAATGAAGTCAGAAATAACTAGGCTCAAAATATGAAAAGCCAAGGATTATGAGATAGAAAAGAATAACAAAACCTAAAATTAATTCACCAATAAGCCATTTTTTAAAAAAGTCTCACAAAACCACTATAAATATATCCCACAATGATCCTTACGAATAAAGACAATATTTCAAAATGCTTTAGCTGCAATTTCTACAATGAATTTGAAGTTGAAAGCATTAAGAATATAGATGATAAATGTCTTTACACAGTGTTTAATATATAAGATGGTTAAGAGAACAGTGGGAAATGGGTACTAAAGAAATTCCTAGTGACATCTGATGACTTCAAAACCTTTATAACAGTTTAAAAAAATCTAGAAATCGTTCCCATTAAAACATGTTTAATGTCAGAGACAGACAGTATCTTTCCTACTTCTGGCACTACTAGTCTCTACTAGTCTTTGAACACAAAAGTGACTTGGTGCCCAGGAGAAAGGCTGTGAGAGTTAACAGCCTATGAGAGAATCCTGACAGCTCCTGTTTTCATACTGATGTCTGCCTTGCTAGGGGGCTAGGCTGTGAAACTGCCCGCCAACGGCAGCTGATCAAGAGAGACTTCTAAGATGGAAATCTGAAAAACTATGTATCTACCTGAGGAAACTTTCAGAGCACTTAATTTTTACCCTGTCTTCTACCTCTTAAAGAAAGAAAGAAGTTTTGTAGAACAGTTTGAAAACAAACAATGTCATCATCACTGAAAGCCCCAGCTTCAACACGCAAAGCTCTACGTCTAGCCAGTTCTTAGCGATTTCAAAGAGAACTAACGTGTGGGCAAGACAGACTGGTTCCAGAAGGGATCTTATTTTGCAGTGGCTTTCTCTCGACTCACCTGGCTTACCATATGCTTTGTGGGTGTGACTGGGTTGCTGAAGGAAAACAGAAAACTTACGACACACAATTCCAACATGTATGAGGCATAACAGTTGTAAGCATTAGTCCACAGTGACTTAGGATGAAGTCTTAGGATTTTGTCATCCTACCTTGTTCAGTCCCCTATTTAACTGCATAGGCTTTTATGAGATCAGCTAACCTGGCCATAGGCCTAAATATCTCCCAGTCAGAGGGGTGGGGATGCTTGGCTCCCATTTCCATGGTACCAAGAACCCTCTCCAAGGCCTCGATTCTCCTCAGACAGGTAATTCTGCTCTCTTCCTTGCCAGAGCAGTTCAAACCAAGCCCACTGTGTATGGGCAGAGGACAGCAGCATGCAGGTGCATTAACACACTGCCCCTTGGTACACTTTCTTAGAAACACCAAAGCAATTAAATGAAACTGTTCAGTCTCCGAAAGGCAACAGGGAAATTCTACTTAACGGAAGAGTCGTAATAAAACCCATCAGCACTCGTCCATTACTGACTACTTTACTCGGCATGGGGAGGATCCTCCTGGGGGCTCAGATATACTTAAGCTGCTCCAAGGATTTCTCAAGGGATTAAAATCGTAAGGATTTCATTACCTCTTCATTGAAAGGGTCTAATTTGTTCAGGCTGAGTGTCATTTTGTCATTTCTCATAAATTAAAGGAGAAACAAAATTATTGTGTCTCTCTCAGTCCCCACAGGAGATGTGGGCACTTTCTTGGGAGTAACACTAGCTGAGTCCTGAGTCTTTCCGGGCTGGCGTTTTTATTTGAGAGGAGCAGGAATACTCCTCGCTTTGGTTCTTCATTCTGTATATTGAGTGGAGGGTAAAAGAACAGAGGTCTTTGAACTGAAACGATTTTGCTGTGATCTAGGCTCAGGGCCAGAATTTCACAGAGTGATCTCCTTCTCTCAAGTGCCCTTTACTTTAGGGAATGCTCTTAATATTGTGCACTGGGCTGAAGGGCCCCGCTGCTATGCAGAATGGCTTGAATGGCTTTCAGGTCGGCATTTCTTAAGCTCCAATATGCTCTCCAGTATCTGCGCTGGTAACAATGTTTTAGGAATCTAAGTTCCATTTAGGAATACAATAGATTTCTTTACTGTATACACATAAATCAGATCGTTTCTGTCTTAAGTGGCAACAAATTTTGCTGACATCACAGGCAACCAGGCCCATTTTAACTTTCAACACTGTCAGGTTAATTCCATACAGGGTGGCACATGCTGCCAAGAATGCTAAGGCTGGGCTACAGAGGCCTGCATTTCAGTCATGATTTGGCCTCTAATTCAGTATGTGATTCTGGGAGGTTCTTTCCTGTCTTAGGCAAGTCATTTCCCTCACTGGCAAAATGAGGGGGTCAGTTGAGAGGTCTGAGGTCTTGCTATTTTTGCAGTGACCTCGGAGACAGGCTACTCTACTGGATGTGTCACTTCCCTCCTGATAGGATAAGCAGAGGGAGATAAGCATGTATTTGGAAACTGTGATGTTTTAGGCATTCTGCAAGATCCTTGCTCTTTTATTAACTTCCTCATAACTCTGCTCAAGCCATTTTACCCATCCTGAAGTGCCCCCATGAAACCTGGGGTATCTCTAAAGTCTGATTCAGTTCCTCCCTTCTATGGGGGCTTCTGTGGTTCCCCTCTCTCCCCAACTCAAAGCACTTGCTTACTTTCCTGAACTCTTATTATACCAGGTCATGTGTAACTATGTTTAAAAATTGTCAATCCAGTTTTTTACTGCAATTGTCTTGAAATTATCTAGTTTAGTAAAGCTATTCAATGAAAAATAAAAACTGATAACGTGAAGGACATTAATTGGGCCAATAGCCTTACTAAGAGAGCTTTATCCTGATGTGGGCATACGATAGACAGATTTATAGAGCCCACTCTACATTCATTTGAGAAGCTACTGCTGGCTCTTCACCTACTCCCTCCTTTTCTTTGTTTGGTTTAATGTGTCTAATCCCGAAACAGGGAAATCACAGAGACTTATTCCTTTTCATAATCATAGAAACTCATATCATGCTAAGTAATATATTTTAATAAAAAGCTTCATTTCTCAAATCATTAGTTTCTATGACTGACTGAGTCTACTAAATCTTTTTTAGTTGACTGCAAGTATCAACCCTATTAAAGATAAAAATGCCACATGTGGTTTGGCCAGCAAAATCCATAGATAAAAGGAGCCAGTCATTGACTAGAAAATGTGAGATCTAATATTTTAGATTAATGTTCAAATTCTTTTTTGTAACCATGAAGGATAGAGAAGCAATAAAGGATGTTTAATAGAGAAAAAAAGAAGTATGGAAATTTCTTGGTATTGGGTGGGCACACGAAGAAAGAAGAAATAAGTAATTATACAAGTATCTGGCAATATGGAAATCTTCCAACACTACTGAAGCAAAAAAAATTTTAATATTTCGCCCGAATTCAGTGCAGAAATGTCATATATATATATATATATATATTGTGTGTGTGTCATATATATATATATATACACATTTACATAGGATTTATATGAAGAATAAAATGCTAATATTTACTATACTTCTTATTTTATAATTCATGGCTAGTAATACATCTATTTTTTGACTTGTCAATCTAAAAGTTTTCTCTGTTTTGAAGGTCATTAATAACAAATTAGGTATGAGAATTACAACTCCAAGATAAATGATATTATCTTGAAGAAATAATTTCCTTGATTTAGTTAAAAAGCCAATACATGCAAAAGAGTGTATCATTTCTATACCTCACTCTGAATTCCAGCCATCTTCAGCATTTAAAGCCAATAAAATTCTTGGACCACAAGAAAGGACTGGAGTTAGGGGCTTTAGTTCAAGGACAGACTCAAGATGTAAGTGTCTACCATATGTTAAGAATCCTTGAGCTAAAGGCAACTCACCCAATCTGAATTATAGGATAGGAAACACTCTGCCATTCACTAAAAAAGAGGTCCAATAACATTTCAAACAACATCATTATTATAAATGTAAATATATGTATAGATAGAAAGCTAATTACCTCATGATCATGAGTAGCCTGTCGAGCTGCATCTAAAAATATGAAAGAATAAGAACATTCAGTTGAAAGACAAAACAATAACAAAACTCAAACAAATAACTGTGCCAAACTACAGAAACTGTGGGTATATGTGGGTTCTCAAAACATACCATATTTTCTCTAATGGCTTTATCAATCAGTCAACAAAAGTTAAAGGGAACCCCATCTTACAGGTTACACAATTAGACACAGAGAAACAGCAGACGCATTCTTACCTTTGAGGAGAATAGGGTGGGAGAGTGGACAGGAAACACATGACAGGGGCTGTTTGTACAATATTACAGTTTAGCAGGCAAGATGCCCAAATGTGGAGAAGACGCAATAGCAAAGGAATGACAGGCCATTACGAGTGGGGCTTCTTTGGCAGTGTTTCCTGAAGAAGGAACTTTAAGCAACGCTTGTAAGAGTGTGACGAACAATTTTAACAGAAAACAAAAGATCCATGAAGATGGGGATCTTGTTTATCGTGTTCACCTTTGCATTCTTAATGCCAACGTGAGATCCTGACATGTAATAGGAGGTGTTCAGTACGTACTTTTTATATACACGCATTCATGAGTGAATGAAAAGGATGCTCACTGAAGGCCAGGAGAGATGATCACATGAAGGCTTAGAGGTGTGAAAGCAAGGCAGTTATGTAGCAGACAGATTTGTTTAGAGGAAGAGAAATGCTTAAACTAGAAATTTTTAATTTTTAAAAAAGCACAGGCAACTAAAAGGGGTCTTGGAGCACAAGCCAAATTGTTGATACTAGATATGGAAACCCAACTGAAATGTCTAAAGGAGAGCAACATGATTTTAATAAAATTCCAAGACGATGCTTTTAAGGGAATGTTGCATAATGGAGAAATGATATAAACATATCTTTTATATTTATTCCTCTAATAGGAGGCTTTGGGACACTCTGTCAGGCAAAACAAACTACAAATACATTTGGTTCTGGTTCTGATACCTTGCCTGTGAGATTTGCCTTTCTGACGGTCCTGGGTTTTCCTACTGAAGACCTTGTAGGCCTCAGTCTTCTGATACTGCTCCAGTTCCTTCATGTAACGCTCCTTATCTCTGTCTGCTTCATCAAGGTAGCGCTAGGAAACAAATGTGGAGTTATTTCCAAGAAAGAGGTGTTATTTAGGTAAAATACCAATAAACTCTTTGAAGAAAACAGAGGATAATTAGAACATGGAAAGAAAAGTACATGTCGAATAAGCTTTAAGGGAGAATTAAAAAAAAAAGTCATGTGAATAGAATGAAATATAATCTCTCAATGATAAAAGAAATAGGTGACACTGACTGTTTAGACTATTTCATGCCCTTCTAAGTTAATGAAGACAAGTTCTATTGAGATCATTCTCATAAAAAATTCAGAAGGAGATGATTATAGTTATTCCCCTAATCCTACAGATAGAACTACACATGGCAACTAGAGTCTTCAAGAAGACTGCACACCACACAGGCACTTAATCTTCCCAGGGGAAGGGATGGAATATTACTTTGTTTCTTTATCCTCAAACCATTCTGGGGGGATGATCTCATACATCAATTGGCCTTTTAAGAGCCAGGAGAGTGGAGCACTAAAGCCGGGAGACACAAAGAACATAAAAGAATGACCTCATCCTATGGACCCAAAATGGACTGCTGTGAGAGAGCCTTTATCTACATGCTTTGTGCTATTAATTATTTAAACAAAGTTCATTGATCTACAAGGATAATTTTGTTTAATGCCTTATACTTTTCATTCATCAATTAGGTTTAAGAAATAAAAATATAAAAATACTGCTTCTAAATGAACACAAATTGGAGTCAGGAATCATGTTAAAAGCCTTGTCCCAGATGTCGGGAACACCCAACTGGCCAAATCTGGGACAAATGAAGTATCAAAATACTTAAGTGCAGTAATAAATTATAAGCCATTGGGAAAAAAAATAAATTCTTAGAAATGCCAAGGGCCGACTGGTATATGTGGAGGGAGAGCTAGAGTTGGAAAATCATCATTTGCAACCATCGTGGTAAAGATCAGATCGAGCAAAAGTCATCAATAAATGCTAAATCTAGGGGGAAATGTTGACATGGAACAGATTATTTGCATGTTCTTAAAATGTCTCTCCAGAGATTTCTTATTAATTATAAGGGATAATAAAAAAACTTTATTGAGTGAGCAAAATTAACATTACCAATGAGGAATAAAAGGACATTGCGTGCCTGCATATGTGATACCCTGAGAAGGACCAACACCACCTGTGCAGTATTCCATGTAACCTCAGTCTAATCACGAGAAGACATCAGACAACTACAGAATGCGGAATGTTCTGTTAAAAGTAAACATGAAGGAGAGAGAGAAAAAGGAAGAGATTGTATTCTTAAAAAATATCCGTGTCATAAAAGACAAAGGCTGTGGAAATATCCCAGATTAAAGGAATCTAGAATTTTGACTACTAAACACAGAACTTGACCCCTGGAGTAGAATCTGAACTAGAGACGGAAAACGCTATAGAGGAATGCCTCTGAAAAATGAAAAAAAATTTTTTTTAACATTTTTTAATTGAGTTATAGTCATTTTACAATGTTGTGTCAAATTCCAGTGCAGAACTGAAAAATGAAAATTTTTGAATTCAGTTAATTCCCAAGAGTAACTTTCAATTTGGTTTTATTCTGTTCGGAATCCTTTTTAAAGAGTGTAAGACATAAAAGAAATATAGATGTATTTCTGATGCTGAGAATGCTGGGGACTTTTAACCCCCACCACTCCCACAGTCATTACCATCACACCATGTCTGTGGCATTTCCACCAGTTCGTGGCTATCTTGTCCTGAATTCCTCTCAACTCTCTCTAACAAATGGATTTGTTTCAGTTTGGCAAAAGGGTTAGTTTCTGTCTTGGAGGAGAAGGAATTCAAATAGTTCTCGCTTTATTTTCCACAGCAGGTTAAATTTGCCAGAACTCCAGTTACAAAAATTTATTAAAGCAGTAAAATCTTTTTCTTAAACAAAAATCTTCTGTGCACGGAAGAATTTTATCAAATGATCTTTTCTCATATGACTCATGACATTTCATTTAACTTGGTAGAATAAATTATGTTGATAGAGTTCTGAATATTGAACTACTTTTTACAAAAATCTTATATGAACTCTCAGCATATAAAGCAAATAAAAGTAGAGCTGCTTTGGTTGAGGGGGGATCCTAGAGTCCCTTCTGCTCACACTCCTGGCAGCAGACCCCGGAAGGGTGCAAGAAGCACTGTGCTAGAGAAAAGCGCCATGAAGGACCCTGCTAGTCTGGTCTCCTAGGCATCGCAACAAAATTCAAGAATCAAAAGTCCATTCTCTTTGCTTTTCTGACAAAAGTTATTTTTGAGATATAATCAAAACCGAGCAAAGGGTCAGGAATAGGAACAATTACCTGTTTTTCCTCAGGAGGAAGTTTACTCCATTCATTGCCTAACATCCTTGTAATTTCTGGAAACGGGACTTCTGGTCTTTTTGCTCGAAGCTGTTCTCGACGCTCGTTCATGAACCGAACATATCCTGTAAGGGGGGACTTGGGTGCATTGCTGTCTCGAAGAGGTTTCTTCCTCTTTCTTCCTTTGGACCAGCCTCCTCGTTTACTTCTTTGCTACAAAACAATACAAAATAAAAAACCAAAAACCAAGTTACAACAAAAATTTCCCCAAATAACCCAAGAATAAACACAAACTATACAGGATTAAAAATTGCATTTTCCTACCGTTAAGGCCTTGGATAGTCAAAGCTCTCCGAAACTGTTACAGGTATAAATGACTGCAATGAGACTTTCAAGAAGGGACTCCAGATGGTTCACCTGCAGACCTTTGTATGTATCATGGTACAAACTGCTACACTGAGGGCTATTTCAGTGCTAATCCTAACAGATAAGAATAAGGGGTACCATGAGCACATAAGCTCTGGCCTGTATATGCACTTAACAAATGCTGACTCCTGATGGGGGTGTGTTCTAAACGAGAAATGCAGCACATAGTCAGCACTGTGCCCGAGAAGCAGACATTGCTGCAGGACGTCAGAACAAGATGTTTTCACATGCACTGGGCAAAAGAAGAGACCAACTGTAGCACAGGGATTAAAAATCAGGTGTTTCTCATTGATATCATTCAAAGACAGTTTATTTCCCACAGCAGATAGCATTATAGATTTTAAAATTAGTCCTTAGACTTAGAAAAATTTCAGCAACTCTAATATATCCAAAAATGAAGACTAGTACTTTGGCTTGATGATTCATTTCTTAAGATGTTTATGTTATAAAGATCTTTATACATTACTAGTTAAAACTAAAGATGAAATCACCTCTTAAAAAGTTTTAAAAAGGGACTGAGGTTCCACTGATGTTTTACCACAGCCTTTTTTCTTTGTCCTTTTAAACAAGACACAAGGTACTTTTGCTTCATAATTTCACAAATACACATAGTCTACCAGTTAATAAAGTTTTACGGATATAAGAATTCTTATTTCAGAGAAGAGAAAGGTAAGCAAAATGGGACAAAAATATCAAAATATTAATTATCAGACTGTACTCATCCAAATATATAAAATGGTACAATTAATTCAGTATTGGGCAAATGGTGTATTTGGTATCAGTTTTTTTTCTTTTCGGTTTTTGTTTTGTAAACCTAGTAACACTTAACATTAAAGCTACTAAGGATTTAAGATGTTTTAGAAGCTTTAGGCATTCATCATAACCTTTAAGGACACCAACATGAAAAGAATCAGCTCTCTCAAAAGAAGAATAAAGACAATAATAAATGGTGGTACTCTTTTATGGTTAAAAAAAAAAAAGAGTGCCTTAAATGTAAACAATGTAATCAGTCACTTGTGAGGAATGCTGAAAGTCCAACAAGGGCATGATGGCCCAGACTCTTTTGGAACCTTTGGTGAATTAGAGAAAGATGCCCACTATTGGAGGGTAGGCTTGGTGAGTCATGCGAATCCTCTGGGCACATATGACCATGCTGCTGGGTTTGGTGAGCAGTAAGTGGTCTTGAATAAGGGCATATGGACTCCTCATTAATTACTTATTTAATTACATCACTCAACTCATTTATAAGCATTTGTTGAGCATCTAATCTGATGCAGGTATAGTTTTTTTCAGCAGTGGAAAAAGAGTCTACCTGTCTCTGTATCATTAAAACCATTAATATGGTGCTACATAAAACAAGAAATATAAAACAGAAAACTCTGCAGAATGTACGACTGCCAGAGGATGAACACCCCAGTCAACTCCCTTGCTGACTGCTCCTTCAGAAGCCTAAGCCCAGTGACGGAGGGGGCGCTGCAGCTCACCTCATCTTCGTGCCGCTGTTCACTGCCTTCCGCTGTACCTGAAGGCTCGTTGTGAAGCAGCTGACCTCGGGTGAGATCCTCCACAAATTCCGGATTGTTGGTGGATGACGCGGCTCCACCGCTGTACGGACCCTCTGGGTGGGTTAACCTGAGGAATGACGGGCAGAGGCGGAAAAGCTCAGTCCCAATGGCACCAAAAGCTCCCACCCACCAAGCACCCGACGGGTTTCACGGCCAGCAAAATCACGTGCCAGCCCTTGAATTAATTCCTCTACCTCATCTGTGTAAATGTAAACAATGTCTCCATAGCAGTTACAGAGAATTTGAAAAAGGTTTCAGTGCTTGCTTGAACCAGGTCAGTTCCATGAAGCAGTCTCCCCGACCCCTCAAAGTACCTCTCCCTCAACACAGCCTTCACGTTTCAGTTTTGAGCATGTCATTGACTTTTATATGCCACTTTTCCTATATCTACAAGGTAATAAAAGGAAAATATGATTAACGGAAAAGAACAGGCATGGGAGTTGCAGAGGCAGTTTGCCCCCATCACAAAAGAGAGAGTTCTTTGAGGGCATAGGAAGTGCCCCTTACAGCACATTCCATAGGCTACTCCTTCTTGGATTACACTGTTTACTGACAACCAGATCATCTAAGAACAGTATTATCAAGTCCTGTTATAATTGTTAATAAATCAGAGACATATATTTTCTGTTTGCACCATTCTGTTCCAGGTGAGTCAGCAAACAAGATCTCAACCTTCTGAAAAGTGGACACGAGAAGGAACAGATGATGGTTGGACCTGAGCCTGATTTACCCACCCTAGGTGGATAAAGGGATGGAAACAAAGGTAACACCATGTGCTAGGGAGTTTGGGGTTTGGGGCGGGTAGTGGGGAAGGTGGAGGAAGATGTATGAGAGTAATATTCAGTCATTATTTTGGAAGAATGTATACTCCATAGGGTTATAGAAAATAATTCCAGTGCAACGTTAAGTACTGGAACAGAGGTTTGTAAAATGTGCCATAAAGGTACAGTAGAGGGGATGATGAATTTTATACATATGGAGAGAATGTTAAGAAAGGTTTTACAGAGGAGGGCTTAAAAGATGAATAGGCATTCATTAGGTACATAACATTATCACAGGTAGAAACAACAGAGTATAAGAGAAGAAAGGGAAACCGTTCAGGAGGCTACTGCAGCAGACTCAGTGAGAAGCAAGGGCGGGCAGGCAGGAGAATGGGAGACAGAAAGCTAAGAGAGAATTGGCTGACTGAATATAAATAGTGAGGGAAAAAGAAGAGTGAAAGTTATTTCTGAGGTTTCTAGATTGAGTAATAATGTACTATTAGCCAAGGTAACAACTGGGGTGTGTGTGTGTGTTTGTGTGTAAGAAAGACAGAGAGAAAATGCTAAGTTTGAAACACTCATGGCATAATTAAGTGGAGCTGTCCCACAGACAACTGGAAGCACGCCCTGAGAGAACAGAAGCGAAGAAAAGGCAGGAGACAGCTGGGGAGGCATCAGCTCACGGCAACAGAGGGAAGCGCCAGCATTGTCCAGAAAGACAGTCAGGAGAACAGTCATAACAGAAGTCTGGTGGGACAATCTATTTTAGCAGCAAGTGTTAGAAGGAGCTGGGAAAGTCCAAGGAGGGCATTAAGAAGCCCAGGGAAGAACACTGTCGCCGAGGCCAAGACAGCAAGACTTTAGAGAAGGGGGTGTTAGACAAGCAAAAAGTTGCAGATGTCACACAGACAGGCTAAAAAGTATCTGCTAAATTTGAAGACCTGAGGGTCTTCAATCTTAGGCAGTACAGTTTTAGCAGAATTACGGGAATAAAAACCAGATTACAGTGGACTGAGATGAAAGCAGATGCAGACTGTCCTGGAAAGGAAAGAAATTCTGTTTTTCTGTCCCTTTCTAGAAAAAATAGATTATTTAAACTAGGAGGTTCCTACATTTTTGAGGTCCTTTGAAAAAGAGTAGGTAAGAGAAGTTATGAACTCAATGCTAATCATGTTCTCTGAAAAGAGGTGCCATCAGAGATCCAGTCTGATCTTGGCAGCTTTGTTTTCTAAATATTTCAATCATTCTGGATGTCTTAGGATGTCTTGTTCTTTCACTGTTATCCTTCATTTCAACTGTGCCATCAATTTTTAAGTTACTAACTCTTATTTCAGTAAAATATGAAAACTAGGTACGGGAAAGAGTACCAATCCTGTGAGTCCCCTGACTGAAATGTATAGGGATCAGAGGGAGTAATTAAAAGTGTCAAATGCCTTAGAGATGACAAGCTGCATAAAGACTGGGGGAAAAACAGGCTCTTTTGTTCCTGTGAATGAATTGTTCATGCTCTTAGCTAGTCAACAACCCTTCCTCTTGTGCGCTGGATCCCACACCCTCTAGCCCACTCAAAAATAGGTTTTCAGCAATTCTGCCCTCTTTCGGCATCACCGATTCTTTCCTCTCTACTAGATCAGCCTAATCAACATATAAATGTGAAGTTACTACTCTTATCTGGAAACAAAACAAAACACACTTTGACTCCACTTCATTTTCCTCCTTCCCTTTACGGAATTGTTTACAGAGCAGCCCCCCACCCCCATCCAAGGGTGATACATTCCAAGATCCCTAATGGAAGCCTGAGACCACAGATAGCACTGAACCCTGATTTCTGCTCATGTCTTCCACCACAAATTTAATGCCTTTTCTATCTTAAGTAAGCACTTATCAGGTACTGGGGTTGCAACTCTTGCCGTTTGAGATGAGACGGCAAAAGTAGCACGACTTTCCTTCTCCTTCTTCACAATTCCACAGATAGAAGATTCATTCTTACCCTAGATCTTAGCAACCTCAGCATACTTTTTCTTTCCTTACTAAGTCAAGAATTTTCACCTTTTCACTTAAAGGAAGCATATTAGAGCTTCTCTTTGGCATATCTGAAATGCTAGCATCAACACTCTTGTGCTTTCGGGCCATCATTAAGTAAAACAAGTTACCTGAACACAAGCACTGAGATACTGTGACAGTCCGTCTGACAACAGAGGCAGCTACTCAGTGACTAACAGGTGGGATACTCTGGACAGAGTGATGATTCACATTCCAGGCGGGACGCAGTGGGGTGGGACACTGTGAGATTTTATCACACTACTCACAATGGTGGACATTTTAGAACATGAATTGTTTATTTATGAAATTTTCCATTTAATATTTTCTCACCAGGGCTAACCATGGTGGGTAACTGAAACTGGAAAGTGAAGCCACGGATAAGGGGGTACTCACTGACTTCAACTGTTTTACTGGAAAGAACTGTTTATACTTATTGACTTCAATTTCTCTTCTTTCATTCTGTCTTAAATCCAACCCAAAGGAGGTAAGTGTCTACAACTCTTGACAAGGTCACCGATGCCTCCATGCTAAATCCAGTGTCATTTCTCAGCCCTTATCTTACCTGATCTTCCGGAAATATTTGACACAGTTGATCTCTTCCCCTTCCTTGAAGTACTTTCATTACCAGGTTTCCAGGACCCTGTACTCCTCCGGTTTTTCTGTTACCTTTTTCGGTGCCCCTTTGAGTCTGTTTGCTGACTCTTTCTCCTCTCCCTGACTTCTAAACGCTGGAGTATCCCTGAGTTCAAGTGTCAACCTCTTCTCTTTTCTATCCACACAGTGCCCCTTCCTGTGGGGATCTCAATCAGGCTCATGGCTTTACGTATCAGCTGTATGTGATCAGCTTCCAAGTTCCCCTTTCTAGTCTAGACAGCTCCTAACTTTAGAGACGTCAAGTTGCCTATATAACATCTCTGCTTGGATATCTAAGCATCTCAATTTTAAAATCTCCAAAACCGAGTTCCTAACATTCCCTCCCCAACTCGCTCAGTCTTCCCTGTCTAATTTCAAGGAGATCCCAACCCCTCAGCTGTTTAAGCCAAAATTCTGGAGATGTCTTTTGGACTGCTTTTTCTCCCTTCTCACATCTCATCTGGTCTTTCAGACAAATCTTGTTTGGCTTACCTTCAAAATATATCCAGAGTTCTATACTTCTCACCTCTCCCAGTCCTAGTATTTTGAAACCCCCTCCAGGTTTCTGTCCCTACTACTCCACCAACATTTCTCTTGTCAAAGTCACTAGTGAAGTTCTTCGAGTCATCATCCCTTACCTGGATCATTTTAGAACCCTAATGGGCCTCCTTGCTTCCAGCCGTGCTTCCTTCTCTCTATTCTCAATATAGCAGTCACAGGGACGCTGTTAGAAAGTGTCAGATCATATCATTCTGCTCAAAATCCACCCATGCCTTCCCACCTCACTCAGAGTAACAGCTGAAGTACTTACTCTGACCCGTAAGACCCTACATGATCTAGTCCCTTGCTACCCAAAGTACGGGCCTCCCACCAGCAGCACTGGCATCACCTTAGACTGTCTGACTCAGCATTTGCATTTTAGTAAGATTTCTAGGCAGTTCTTAAGTTTTAAAGTTTGAGAAACACTGATGTAGCCTATTACTCCCCCCTCCCCGGTATACTCTGCTCCAGCCACACGGGGCTCCTGGTTATTTCTAAACGGAAGAAACACTCCTACCTCAAGGCTTTCACACTCACCGCTCCCTCTGCCTAGAATAATCTGCCTCCATAACTGCAGGCTAGCTACCTTACTTCCTTCAGGTCTTTATTCCAGTCATTTGTAAAGCTTTTCTGGGCCACCTTATCTAAAATGGCACCCCAGGCCCTTCCTATCCCTCTTCCCAACTTTATTTTTTAATCCAGTTTTCTTGTCAATGTAGTATGCATTTTACTTATTTATCCTATTTATTGTCTGACTTCCCTAGTAGAATTTAAGCTCTGTAGGGGTTGAGATTTTTGTCTGTTTTGGCTATTGCTAATATCTAGTGCCTGGAACGGTGTCTGGCACACGCAGACACTCAGAACATTTTTATTGTATGAATTGGATTCAGCAACTAGGTGGCTTTTAAAAGTCTTAGAGAACAGTTTCATCTGAATATAAACAGAAGGCAGGTATTAATGAGTTAAGAAATGAATGTCAGGAAAGGAAACAGAATTACAAAGTATAATCTTTTTTTAAAGAGCCCTAAAGAATATTAAAATAATTCATTTTAGGGATTAGCTAGTACTTCAATCTATTAGTGAATACATTTCTTCTTTAGCAAATAACTTCTAAATAGAGAAGATAAAAAGTCAAGTGGAACAGAGATTTTCAATGGAAGAGGGACTACTGCTATTAGCCCTTTTCTATATTCCTTCATACATCATCCAAAAATACCAAAGACAAGAGATGGGGGCGGGGAGGGACAGAAGTCAGCTAGAGCTCCTAGGCGTCTTGAATAAAGAACCGTAACTAAAAATGTGATCTTAAAAAAAAAAATCTGATGCTTGGGAGAAAATTATTTTAATATCTGTTGCAATTCAGACAGAAAATGGATTTGGCATTCTGAGAGCTAGCCCTGTGGTAGGTATTTCCGTAATGGTGACTATGTAATTCTCTTAACTGGGAGCCACCGATGTCTCATAGATCCCACGTTGCTGTTCCAGTTCACAGGAACCAGAGCACTGCAAATGACAGCTGAATGCAGATTACAAAGCAGCTCACAATGGCTTTCATTCCCTTTGCAAAGCATAACAAACGTACCTTCTATTTTTATGATCTAAAACTGCCTCTTTAGCACCTCATACGTTGTCAGAGCTGTTTTGAAGCCTAGGAAGAGGCCCAGTGTCCCAAAGCAGTTGCTTACCCAGTTGTAGCCAGATCATTACTCTCCTTGGAGCCATCTTCATCTGCAAAAAGGGGAGGCAGGGTGGAACTAGTCATCAAGGTTTCCATCTCTCTGAAAGGAAAGAGAATAAAAAAATTATTAATGGCTTAATTACTTCCAGCTCAAGTTCCATTAATTTAAGAGCTAGCCTTCCTTAATCACATCAGCAACAGAATAGAAGCTGACCTAAATATTTTCTTGACTTGGACACATCAATTTTAGCTTTATGGTTAATGGACTTTTAACCCTGGCCTTATCAACTGACCAGACTAAAAACAGATTTTCACTATCAGGACACAGGTTGGAAAATTCCTTTTTGTTCATTCAGAATATCTTCAAAAGTATTCTTCATTTCCTGTAAAAACTGTTAAGCAGAGTAACTCAGAAGCAATGCAACCCTCAGCAAGTTATTCAACTTCTTTGAGATACAATTTCACCATCTTAGACACAGACGAAATTGCTGACTTAACCTACAGGGTTATTGTGAAGGATTAAACTGTAAGTGCTTCATAAACAGAGAAAGGTTAAGATGGTAAGTGCTTTGAGTATTATTATATAAAGAAACATATTGTTATTATAGCATTACAGTTTTTGGTCCCGGATGAATCATCTTTAGATTAAATGGTGACAAACTGAGCCCTCCAAAAGGAAATAATGCAAAGGAAGTGCAGGATGGAAGGCATACTGATGTGGTTCAAAATTAAAGTAACCACACTTCCAGGTCAGAAACCTGCTCCACATCACCATGATGACCAGTAGTCGAAAGAGCACGCACTTGGGTACAGGAAACAACTAAGCTTAATTGAAGAAAACAAATAAATCACAAGGACTTGAGGTTATCAGAATGAAAGGATAAAAGGACAAAGTGACAAAGAGAGTAATTTCATTTAGCATATCACTACAAAGAAAGATTTTTCCCTTCTAAGGCTTACCACCAAGGGCTTCACCCAGTAGAGCTAAAAGCAGAAGCCTTCCATTCATCACGAAAGTGATATTCAAACAGAACATTCAATAGTGACCCTGAACATCAGCCACTTAAGTGAAACTGAAAACCACTCCAGGAAAAGAAATGCCTCAATCAACTGGGAGAACTGAGAAGCAAATTACAAGCATTCACTTAGGAGCTCCCCAGCACTTAGCTCAGGTGCTGCTGCTGGGGAGACCGGTGAAGCAGCAACTGGAAGGGAAGCCCAGCAGCCCTGAGCAGAGCTAGAATCCGCCCTGCTGCGGTGGGGACACAGAGACAGTGCACATGACACCGATGCCACATTCCACATGCTCAGTATAGTCATTCACTTCCAAAATGGTAACACGGATGATTTGCTTCTTATTCTTACTTTCTTGTTTTCACTTCTAAATTTGTTACTTAGCAGGCCAAAGTCCATAAACAGCTTAATGTGAAAAGATGAATCTCTGTATATCCATTACCCATCACAGTGCGCAGAACGTGGAAGGCAGAGAAGAACTTCCTACCCATCCAGAGTCAGGAGCTCCTGCACGTGCAGGGATGCTTGCTAAACCCTGTTCATTTCCTTCGAGAGAAGGGAGTTTACAAGCGGCTCTAAGAAATATTGCGAAGTTGCATTCTGGATGTTTTCTAGGATAATCTTGACCCAAGTGTACTTACGTTTTAATTCATATTATGCACAGGCTGTAACATCACCTCACACCAATATTCGTTTTACCAAAAGCAAACTAATCAAAACTAATCAATTAGATGCCATTTAGCCTAATTACAAACCACAAGCAAACATTCAACTATCCCGGTACATATCCACAAACATTAAAGGGACTCATTTAACTGGCTCCTTTTTAAAAGTCTCCTTAGAAGTAACTGACTTTTCAAGAACCTTAAGATTCAGCATTTGAAGCTCTTAGCATCCCTCCTACACCTCAAAAGAAGATATATTATCTGGTGGGGGACAGATGAAGTGTCTTTTCATTCACTATGCCATCGCGACCCTCTTCGAGTATTTCCCAGATATCTGTTGTTATTTTTGAAATACGGGGAGGCAGCTGGACAACACAACCTTAACAACATATAAACAGATCATATAAACAAAGGAAGTTCAGAGAACACACATTTTTTTGCCTTTTTTTCCCTCTTAAGTTTGTTTTACTCAACCCATATGGCTTCAGATATATTTTCTCTAGTGTTACTGAGTAGTCAGGTCCCTAAGAAATGAGTAATAAAGTGGGTGGAAGGTTAAGGGGCCAAGATCAACAAAAGAAGGAAATGAGGAAAAAGTCTAGTGAAACTCAAAGGCCTCTAAACTAGTCCAGTAAGTTGGAAAATAAAATGATTCCTAAGAATTGGCTGGGATCCTGCAAGAATCTGCTTTCATATGGTCCATGAGGGGGTGATTCAAATTGAATCACAGCTACCAAGCCACTGATTGCCAAAAGCCCTTCAGTGTAGCATCTGTGCCTGATAATGTCCCAGTACAGAGGTCACCCTGAACTTAGAAATTCTATGTAAGACACTCAAGAAATGTAATGAATGCTGCTCTGGAAGGGGAAAGAAGGGAAATATATACAAAGGCAAAGCGATACACAAGTTTGGTTTTCCGCTGCAGTTTACAGAAGCAGGTTTATCACACAGATGTTTCCTTGCAAAGAGATTCACCCAGTGAAGGCTTCTACCTCGATGCCTCAAAAAATGGTATTACCTTGGGGTTTACAGTTTGAACCAGGGTCCAGACTGTAGCTTTGGAAACTCAAAAACTCCCTCTAACACTAACTGCTCACTGAACAAACTGATGTGTAAAACAGTGCCAAGTTTAGTATTTTAATGACAATTACGCAAATTGTAATGAGAATTGTATTAAGCCACTAATCATAATCAGAACATTGCTTTGCTCAATATAGGACCAGAATAAAGGAACTTAAGTGGAGCCTAAGAATTGTTCCTCAAGTAAGATCGTTCTAGTAGCCTTTCCTGACAAAAGGGATGATCTCAACAATGAGACCATGTTATTCCAAGTGTGTGGGACAGTGCTGGAAGCATCATTTGTACTTCTGTTTTCTTGGGGTGGGCTCTTTTCAAGAGCCCTTTCCCTACTTTACATAAGTCCCCCTTCCTTCAGTCCTCTTGTGGAATCTATACCAATCTCTGATCATCATCTGCTGTCATTTCAGTCCTACAACTGACCGTTAGCCACACAAACCTCTTTGCTGACCCCTGGCTTTCCCTTCTATGTCTGGCTTATATTCCATGGCTACACTTCAAATACTCTTTTGCCAACACTCTCAATTCCTTTGCCGTGTTATTCTATAACCTACACGTAGATCAACTCTGAGTTTTAGCTCAAGATAGTGTTTGAGAAAAATCACAAAATAAAGAGTGCTACTATAAATTTATGGTGTCCAACCACAAGTGGGCCCTTAATGCTCTCAGCAGTCATTCTGCATGTTCTTAGGGGATTTCCCAACTGCCACATCAGCTCCATCAAAATTTTCCAATCAATTTAAACCTAACTCACTCAAACCCTCCCACTTAGCCTCATCTCATCTCTTCAAACTTCCCATCCCTGACTCACACCAAAAACCATCCTAAATTGTTTTATTTTAAAAGCATGTAATTCATATATCATAAAAGTCACCCTTTAAGTTGTACAATTTGGTGGCTTTCAAATATTTACAAGGTGATTTTCATATACTATAACCAACACCATAATTAATTTTCGAACATTTTCATCATCCCTAAAAGAAACTCACTACCCATTAACAGTCACTCCCCATTCTTCCCTCCCCCTAGGACCAGATAACCACTAATCTGCTGTCTTTATGGATATACCTATTCTGGACATTTCATGTAAACGTAATCATACATTCTGTGACCTTTTGTGTCTGACTACATTCACTTAGTATAAAGTTTTCAAGGTTCACCACATTTTAGCATGTACCAGAGTTTCATTTCTTTTTAGGGGTGAATAATATTCCGTTATATGGCTATACCACATTTTGTTTATCCATTCATCAGCTGATAGGCTTGGGTTGTTTGTACTTTTTGTTTATAGTGAATAATGCTGCTTATGAACATGTGTGTACAAGTTTTTATATGGACATGTTTTCAGTTCTCTTGGGCATATACCTAGGAATGAAATTGCTGGGTCATATGGTAACTCCATGTTTAACATTTGAAGGAACTGCCAAACTGTTTTCCAAAGTACATGTACCATTTCACATTCCCACTAGCAATGTATGAGAGTTTCAAATTCTCTATATCCTTACCACAGTCTTCAGGAGTGCTAGAGAAATATCAACTCCAGTCTCTTCTAGCTTTCCACATGGGCTAAGGGAAAGATACAATTCCAGTCCTGTTCACCCATCCTGTCCCACCTAAAGGGGGAACAAAACCTGAGAAGCATTGGTGAAGTTCACAGTCCAGGAGCATATGCTCACCAAAAGACTGAGACCTAATCATGGTATTACAGAATGCTTCTTTTGCCCTTATACCTTACCACTATATCACTAAAGGCATGTATACATGATGTATGGTATCCCATGCTCATGGATAGGAAGACTCAATATTGTCAAGATGTCACTTCTTCCCAGCTTGAGCTATAGATTGAACTCAATCCCAGTAAGTTATTCCATGGATACCAATAAACTGATTCTAAAGTTATATGTAGAGGCAAAAGATTTAATAGCCAAATCAATATTGAAGGAGAAGAACAAAGTTAGAGGACTGACACTACCTCAACTCCAAGACCTCCTTTTAAGCTATGATAATCAAGATAGTGAGTTTTGGGGAAAGAAAAGACAAATAAATTATTGAAACAGAGTAGAGAGCCTAGCTAGAAATAAACCCATATAAATATAGTCAATTGATCTTTGACAAAGGAGAAAAGGCAAAACGATGAAATAAAGATAGTTTTTCAACAAATGGTGCTGGAACAACTAAAAAGAAGTCTATCCAAAACATACAGAGAACTCTTAAAACTTAACAGTAGGAAAATGAACACCTTGATTAAAGAATGCTCAAAAGATCTGAACAGACGCCTCACCAATGCATATACACAGATGGCAAGTAAGCATATGAAAACATGTTTAATATGTCATTTGGGAGCTGAAAATTAAAACAATGAGATACCATTGCACATCTATCAGAATAGTTAAAATCCAAAGCACTGTCAACACCAAATACTGGTGAGGATGTAAAGCAACAGGAACTCCCATTTATTGCTGGTAGAAATAAATGAAAATGGTACAGCCAGTATGGAAGACTGTTTGGTAGTTTCTTATAAAACTATTCATACTCTTACCAATAATTGTGTTCCTTGGTATTTACTGTAAGGAGTTAAATACTTATGTCCATTGAAAAGCCTGCACATTGATGTTTATAGCAGCTTTATTCAAAATGTCAAAATTTGGACACAAACAAGATGAGTAGATGAGTGGATAATCAAACTGTGGTACATGCAGATAATGGAATATTATTCAGAGCTAAAAAAGAAAAAGTAATAAGTTATCGAGCCATGAAAAGACATGCAGGAAACTTAAAGGTATGAGTTAAAGGACCCAATCTGAAAAAGCTACGTAGTATATGATACCAACCACATGGCATTCTGGATAAGGTAAAACTATGGAGATAGTAAAAAGATGAGTGGATGCCAGGGGTTGGGGGGAGGCAGGAGTGAACATGCAGAACACAGAAGATTTTTAGGGCTATGAAAACTATTCTGTATGATACTGGAATGGTAGATATCTGTCATACATTTGTCAAATCCCATAGAAAGTACACCACCAAGAGTGAACCCTAACGTAAGCTATGGATTTGGGTGATGATTATGTGTCAGTGTAGGCTCGTTGATTGTAACAAACGTACCACTCTGGTAGGGGAAGGTGACAGTGGGGCAGGTTGCACATATGGGGCATGGAGTATAGGGAACTCTTGTACTATCTGCTTAATTTTGATATGAATCTAAAACTGTTCTAAAAATATTTATTAATTTAAAAATTAATGTAATTATACCATTTATTGTAAGATAGACCTGAGGTTTAGGAATAAATACAACTGATTTTGATATGCATACAATTTAACAGGAGCAGGTGAAAATACAAAGGCTTACTAGGGAGCAGTCTACTGCTGTGAGCATTTAGCTAAGAGCATTCAGTAGGCTGTGGGCATTAATCAATATATTTTACAGAGGTAATAATAACACTGGCTAATCCTACCAGGGAGTTAACTGGGGTTCAGCTAAGTGAAATTCAGTTAAGAACTCTCTCACTGTAGGTTTTGATGTGGGAGATGAGGGGGCAAAAGATAAGGCTAGATAATTTGGGAGTAATTAAGTACTTACTTTTTGTGGGAGTGGGTGGGATGGGGAGATAATGAGTTTAAGGCTTAGGGTTGTTTCAGTGCCTAAGAAGGACACGAGGAGGTGTGTGTTTGGCTGGGTGCTGGATGGAGTGGGCAGAAAATGTGGCTCTCTATTCCCAGAATCTAGAGCCCAGGCTCCTATGACTATTGTTGATTTTTAAAAAATGTAGTAGGCTAGTCTAGGAACTAAATAATAAGGAGACTCATTCATTCATTCAACAATTATCTATTGAGTATCTAACATTCTAGGCACTTTATACGTACTGGGGATACAGCAGCAATCAAAACAGGCAAAAATTCCCACCCTCATGCAGCTGAGTATAATGAGACACAGATAAAAAACAAGATAAAGTAAGTAAAATGAATAATGTTACACAGTGACAAGTACAAAGGAAAAAAGAGAGCAAGGAAAGAGGCCAGGAAGAGTTCAAGGGAAGAGGGTGTCTGGAATTTCAAAGAAGCCAGGAAAGGCTTCACTGAGGTAACCCTTGGGGAAAGACCTAAGGAGGTGAAGGAGAGAGTTAGGCACGTGCAAGGACAGACTGGCCCAGGCGGGGGGATGACTCATGTGAAGGAGTACCCCTGTATGACCGAAGGAGGCAGCAAATGTGACTGGACTGAACCAGGGGCAAAAACAGTGGATGAACCTGACTGCTACAGGGAACCAGACAGTGTAAGGCTTTGTAAGTCATAGTAAAGAGTGGCTTTTACTCTCAGATGAGAAACCACTAGAAAGTTTTGAGTAGAAAAGGTAGGGATCAACCATTTTTTTAGGATCACTCTGATTGCAGTTTTGAGAACACAAGGAAGGGTGGAGAGGGTCAAGGGTGGAAGTAAGGAGATTATTAGGAGTCTAATAATCCAACTGAAAGATGATGGATTGGATCACAGTGGTTAGTAGTGTGGGTGGTGAGCAGTGGTCAGATTTTTGATAGATTTTGAAGGTAGAGCTAATTTCTAAGTTCAAAGTAACTGAAAAGAATTAGGAATAGACTGTATCGTGGTTTGCATATATTTTAACTGTAGTCTTACTACCTGTCTAGTGATAAAGGGTGGGCTATGCTGGCAATATATTACTTGCAATTTTTTTGAAGTTAAATATAGTGGGGTTTTTGGGTCATAAAGGAAATAATCCAGCTTCCATTTAAGGCAACACTTGTAGAGTTTATATTTCAACAACAAACATTTGTTGAGCACCTTTATTGTGTGACTGAGATTGTTCTTGGTGTCAAGTGGTGTCAAGCGTAGCTGTGTTTTACAGAATTTTGTGGTCTGTTACTCTCCTTGGTCTAGAGACACTGTTCTCAGGCAACAATGAGAAGTGGGAAGAAGAGGCCAGGGTTAGAAACAAACATAAATCTTCCACCATTGTTTATGAGTTTTTGAAGTAAGGGTTTTATAAACTTTTGAGTTAGATATTTTCTAAAGAATATAGTAAGTACTAGATCATCAAAAGAAACTGGACACAGTTTAGATTTCTTTCTAGATGGTTTGATCACTGTTCATGCATTTATTCCCCCCTCTCCTTGATGGAGAACTGTTACCATCAGGACACAAAATATGTTGTGCTAAAAAAAACACACACACAAAAACCCCACTAAACATCTAGAAATAATGTTTTGTATCGTGTTGAAGCACAGTGATAACACAGAGAAAATAAAAAATTTTCCTCTGCCAAAGCAAAACTTGTCATTTTATAAGCAGGGTGTTGCCTTTTGAGGTCATAGTCCTCATATTTGGCTTTTTCATGGTGCCTGTTGGTCCCAAGTTGCCCTTCCTACACAGCCTGTTCAAGCACTGCTTTTATTATTAGTAAACAAGAGAGATAACTGCCCAAGTAAGAAATTTCTGGACCAGTGCCGGATCTAAGAGTTAAAAGTAATCCAGTAAAACTTAGCATTACTTCCTTTAGCGTAGAGAACTTTCCCAATTTCCTGGGACACTGGGTTACTATGGAGCAGTAAAAAGGTAGGTGTGTATAAGGCAGGGGTAGAGGAGTGCGAGAGGGGGTGGGGGGAGTTGGGGGGGTGCCAGGACAGGTGTACTTCATTTTGGAAGCCATATGATATATAAAAAGGTATTTTCAATGATAGTCAATGTTATAATTTAATTTTATATCTGGAAAACAGAAGCAATTAATTATACAAGTACAGAAAGTCATTGTTCTTGTTTGGTGAAGATACATATGTGTATTTTTTCACTTACTTCTTGGTGATTCTCATGGAGGGCATATCAGAATAGAGGAATTTCATGTTTACCAAGAAGCAACGGAGTTTTAAAAAAGCTGAAAAAACAATGCTTTTCACAGTTCATTATATGTCACTGCGTTAGGCATTAGAGACACAGAGTCAGTAAGAGTGACAAGAAATTCTTGTCCTTTTGCAGTTTATAATCTATTGGGGGACAGATCAGCAAACAGCAAAAGAAAAATGGGAAGGCTGTAGCAGTTGATTCATGTGAAGTTATTTATTTATTTATTTATTTATTTATTTATTTATTTATTTATTTATTTAGATGAGCAAAACAGGGAAGAAATACAGATGAATTGAAAAGATAGAGTGACCAGCTAAGATAACCACAACTTATTGTAATAAATTCACTGAGCAAAACCTGAAAGGGAACACTTAGCTCAGGGTACTTGCATGCTTGGAATCCAGACTCGAATCAAGGAGGTAGATAGGATTCCTTTTTAAAATAAAATGATTCAAGCCTGGGGTCTGAGGAAAGCAGTACACGAGGAAGCAGAAGCAACAAAGGTCCTTAGTATCTTGACCTAAACAAAAACTTACTAGTTAACAGCTCTAGGGCAAGGATCCTTACTGGTTCAAGGAACATTGCTCCTCTATTTTCTTACATTTTACTCTGCTTTCTTCAGTTCAAACTCGCAGCTGTGAAACGACACTGTAGAGAAGAGATGAAAAGAATGTTCCTTTTTGTTACAGTCAATAACTCCCAAATTGTTTACTCTTTCAAAGCTGAGGAATACTAAAAGTAAGAGATGACATGTTGGGAAGAAAGCCAGAGATCACTTATAAAATCTAGTGTAATAAAAGGAAATAGAGCCCATCAAAGTGTTCTTCATTTTAATCAACTTAATTTAATACAAATTAAATTCTCTTCCTAGGAAGAATTCCTAAAAGAAGAAAACAAGAGAACTTTGGGTAGTAGGGAAGTCTACCTCCAGACAAAAGGTGAAGACAAAAACATCAGCAAAATTTTAGTTGCGGGGAGGCCAAGCAGTTACTAGTCTTCACTACTTTGAACAATAAAATGAAATTCTCAGTTTTCCTCACAAAACAAATAGGCAAAATTTCAGTTTAACCAAACAATTCAAACAAAACAGAGAAAACTTAAAACTCACAATTAGTTTGCTATATTTTGCTTTTGAATCCTACAGCTGACAGTGCTCAGGACGTCAGAAAATAAATCAAATAGCCACGGAATTCAAACCTGACACATTTAAAGCTTTAGAAGACTAGTTTCCCAGGCACGGTTTTCCTTTAACTCCCCATTACGATAAGGCTCCTACCCTCCCAAGGCAGTTCCGCTCAGGTGCCTAGATGTTATCTTCCTGGTTTACAAGCTACTGATTTTATTTCCTTTGTTTCCAGGCGAAACAAAAACAAGTTTAAAACCATGTTAGCTGTAAGCCTAACTGAGGAGTAACTAGACTAATTAACTCATTTCAAGATTCTTGGTGTTTAGTGTATTTACTAAAATCTGACAAAACTTTTACTTCCAGAGTGGCTTAGTGCTGTTCAAAGGCTCACTTAGTCCAGTAAAGCAGGACTACGTCCCAGGAAATAAGAACGTGTAGAACGATTTGTCTCGCTCTCCTCTCTACATTAGATGCATTCACTTGCCTGCATGAGCCAGTACTTCTGCGGCGAGCAGAAATCCTGTACAGTACAAAGTAGAGGCATTGTGTGATTTCTGCTTTCAGTACCCTCATATTTCAAATGGTGCTAATAATACCTTCTCTGTTTAATGCAAAAAGATACTGTGAGGATCAAACAAATTTTTCTTTATGTGCTCTGCAAACAATAAAAGAATGTGAAAGCTATTTTTACTTATTATGTTACAAAGTTTGCAATGAAATATTTATGAGAAAATATACAGATTATAGTTTTATCAAGAGAACAGATACATAAGAAAAAAGACTGGAAGGAAACACATCAAGATGCTCAAAGTAATGTTAGGATGGTGAAATTACGAGTAATTACTTTCCAGTATTTGTTTTCACTTCCCAACATTCAGTAATACATTGTTACTTTAAGGAAAGAGTAAAGTACCATCAAAAATCACAGACTTTAAACTTAAAATTTAATTTCACACACAATACATGAATACGCCTTCTTTTTAAAATTTTTGACTACACATAGAGCTGAATTCCCTTTGACCAGACTCTCCTCTCCCCTCTCCAGAAAATATACTGTTAGAGGAACTTCTAGCTTATTGCTGAAATGAGCCTTAGAGATAATTTCTAGTACTATACTCATTCTCTTCCTCGCTCGCTCGCTCATTGTCTCTGTCAAATCAGAATCAGCCCTACAAGGCAGAGAAGAGTAAACATGTCTAACAGGAAGAGTATGAGAACACAGTTTATAAATTTTGCTTTTGAATTAAAAATGAATTAAGAAATTCATTTAAATTTTGCATTCAAGTTTATAAAAGAATTTTTAACACAAAAATAAGTGTTGGAAACTATTAAGAAACCAGGAGAAAGTATCATGTACTCCCAAGGCAATGATGTATTTCCCTGTGAGTGCATGATCACATAGCATAGGTTAGGTTCATCCTCCTGACAGATAACTGACACACTTCAATACTGAGAGAAAAAGAAGGGCTGTGACTTCCTCCTCCTCCTCTACAATACAGCACAGAATGAGTAATTCCTATTATTGGCTAGAAGTATATGGTTAACTCAATTTATGTCCTGTTAACATTCTAGATAAAACTACATGACAATACATTGCAATTATCATATAAAAGTCCCATTTAATTATGAGAAAACAGACCACAATCTGAACTTAATAAGGCTAGGCATTTCCTTGAAAGGTTTAATTCTGAAAATTATCATACATCTGAGGTTTTGATAAATGTACATTCTTATGTCACTGGTAGGAAAAGTAACAAGCTGTTTATGAATAAACATAAACAATGTCGTTTTACTTCTTGTTGATATTATCTTGAGATAGACCTCAAATATAATATACTCGATCCATCTCTCATTCCACTGTCATCTCTTTCCCTTCAAGTATTTGACTCCAAATCTGGCTTACATGAAAAAGTTCATCATTACAACATGTTTTTCATGGAAGCATTTTCTCTGGAGGTATTTATTATTATTACAAAGTCTCTTCAAATATCTAATCTGACTCTTGGTGTTTAGTAATATTAAAATATTTAAGAGACAAAACTGATAACTTAAAATCAAGAGATGTCAATGAGAGCTATGAGGAAAGAAGCATAATTAAAGTTTTCCACAACAAATTCACTCAAATTTTGGGAGAGGGAGAACCAAAGCATCTCAAATTTCTGATGAAGGATTATGTGCTATATAATCTGCAGGGAGACAAACTGAGGCAGTAGGAAGAGCTCTGAACTGAAGTCAGGAAGTCTGATTCTGAGTTCAGGCTGTGCCAGCAACCAGCTGTGTCTTCTGGGATCACTAAACCATTCTGGCCAAGTTTCTTCATCACTAACAGTTTGCCTGTACGATCCTTTCATAGCTCTGATTGCCCTTTTACTGCTACAAGGTCATCTTCTCACTGTTTTGTCCTTGATTGCACAGAACAGAATAATCAAGACAGACCCAAGATTATCTACAGATAGATTATTTGCAACATGAATATGCAAAATAAAATACATTCATTTCATGACTCTGGGGAAGTTCTGAGGCAGAATATAAAGTAATAATGAGAAGGAAAACCTACTAATAATAATGCTTTATTGTAATCTGAGACAGAAATGCTTGCATGGCTATGCTCTTCAAGAGAAAAGGTGCCTTGAAATTGATGGTTTTATGGGGCTGGCGTAGAAACACGGATGGATTAAACGCTTGAGGACAGTGAAGGTCATCTATCAGACTGAACCAGGGAAATCTTACAGACTAAAGATTCTCATCAGCAACAATGCACACTGCTGCACACTGCTATGCTTTTCTCAACCCCTCTGGAGCTACTGGCTCTCTCTTTTTATTCGTCTAATTCTTGGCATTGGTGCTGTAATTTTTTAATGTTAAGTGTCTGTCTTCTCCATGGAAGACACCATGCTCTGGATATCTTTCTAGCTTCTTCAGGTGTTCTGGTTCTCTTGCCATCATTTTAACCTCTGTTGCAACAAAGACTATTCTTTTTTCCTTCAGATATAAATATACTCTGTTCCTAAAAAAGAAAGAAAACAAACAAAACTCATAATAATACCTTCCATTAATTTCTATCTTTCCTTATAAGCAACTGCCCCTTCATTTACCTTTTCTTTATAACCAAACTACCTGAAAGATTATTCCAGTCACTGCTGCTACTCACTCAATCTGAAACACATGGTAATCTGGTTTCTACCCCTAACTCACTCTACTGACTATTCTCAGATACCAGTAATCTCTAAATTGCTAATTTCAATGAACACCTTTTAATCTTCAGCCTATTTGGTTGTTAACTGGCATTGGATGCTGTAAATGAGTCTTCCTCTACAAACTCCACTTCTTCCTATATGCTACCCTCTTTTGTTTTTCTCTCTCATTTCCTTAGCCGTTTCTTTACACTTCGGCCCTTTTCTCTCTCTCTACATGTTTTCCTAGTGATCTCAGTTTCAATGTTTCAACAACCACGTATGACATCTAAAACCAACTCTTTTAAATTCCAGGTCTGTATCTCATATGGCAAAGATAGCTTCCTTTGGTCTGCCACAGGCTACTCGCACTTAACACATATAAAGCTGAATCTGTAATCTTTTCCTCAAAATCTGTTCCATCTCCCATGTTCTCTATGTCAGTTGAGGGTTCTCTACTCTGTCACTCAGGCTAAAGACCTGGGAGTCCTTTTCAGCATTTCCCCGGCCCTTCTCATCACATTCAGTCCCTCACCAAATCCTGTTGATTCTGTCTCCCCTTCTATGTTCCTGATGTTACTGTCTCAGTTAAAGCCTTTATTTTTCTTGGCCTGAGGATTCTAACAGCCTCCTGCCGGTCCTTCCTGCCTCCAATCTGTTTCCACACAGCTGCCAGTGATCATTCTAAAATACAAATCTAATTATGCATATTATTCCTCACTTAAAATCATTCAAGAGGCTACCTACTGTCTTCAGGTGATTTATACTTTTTTCTTCTTAAAATTCTGTTTGAAAACATAAAAGTTATGCTCATTTTTGAATGTCTTACAATAAAGATACATTATTTGATCATTAGAATAAACAATAAAACTTTGCCTCATAATAGTGACCAACTTTAAACCAGTTTTGGGGTCAAGAAAAGGAATCTTGACATGTTTAAATGAACTAGAACACAAAAAGTTTAATTGAAAATAATACACTAAAAAGAACTAAATCTTCTCTAGATTGAACGCACATCTTTGGGACCCTCTATTTGTTCTCACATGAAACATCTTAAAAATTTACCCCTTTAGGGAATTAAGATTCAGCTGACTTGCTAATAAAACCCTTACAGAGATGATAAATGCTGAGTAAAAAAAAGCAATCCTGACCTCTTCTTCTTTTTAAGTAAATAAAAGAACAATAAACCATAGTTATACCTTGTTTTATTGTGATTCACAGATACTGTATTTTTCTTTTTACAAATTGATAGTTTGCAGCAACTCTTTGTCAAGCAAGTCTACTGGCACCATTTTTCCAACAGCATTTGCTCCTGTTGCATCTCCATGTCACGGTTTGGTAATTCTTGC